AAAGCTTACTTGCCACACACAAGTGGAAGTTAGAGGACACCTCTGTGAACTATGTTCTCTCCTTCTATATTTATGTGGGTTCCAGGGATCGAATCAGGTTGTCAGGATTATGTGGCAAATACTCACTGAACCATATGGCTGACCCAAAACAGGATCTTTCTTATATGGGAGAATAGACATGACTAGGAAGAGGCCAATATGGGCCAATCAACTACTTAGAGATTGCTTTCCCTGAATTGACCTAGGAGAGGGAAAGGAAGAGTTTGTTATAGCCTGTCTTTGGTGGAGGGTCAGACAGAGTTCAGGAGCTGCAATGCAGATTTTCATTGACTATTTGGCATTTAACAAAAAATCATGAGTAAATAATCACATTAATCTTTTATGAGGCAGTGAACTGGAGTTTTAATGGGCAATGTCTGGCCTGTCTTTAGTTAAAGGGTGTTGGAGCAGACACAGAGCTCTTCTAACTCTTACATAATTCTTTGTTTAGTATTTTAGTTTTTTAATTCACTTAGGAAGGAATTTCATCTGTCAAGAGTAAAACTTGACACTAAGGATCTTACCAAGGCTTAGGATAAAACCCAGGGATACAATAGTTCCAAATATCTTGGCTTAGCATCATGTTAAATAAATGGATAGTGGTAAAAAAAGATACAGGGTTTTATTCTACTTGGCCATGCTGGAATGAACATATACAGGTGAACCAATGGTCCTTAAATGTATCATCAGAGTATTGACATGGGAGACTTAGAGTCAAAGAGAGAGAGAAATGTATGCATAATTGAGCAGTCCTGGTCTGGTTGTGGTTCTATACATCATGGATCCATCAATGTCTCAGCTACTAGAAGGTGGTCACTCAAGCAATGTTGTCCCATAAATGTTAAATTGTTCATCTATTCACCCGTCACAGAGAATAGAGCACGACCATCATGAAAAGTTCTCCTCATCTAAGAAGTAATTAGTTCATCCCGTTGAGTTTTCCTCTTCTGGGAGTCAATGTTCCTCAAGAGGAAATGTTAAGAGCAATACTTACATCTGCATCTTCAGCCCAAGTACAGACATGCAATGAAGGCAGAGGTGTCAGACTTTCATCCTGCTTCAGTTACTTTGTAGGCAAAAGTGAAGAGATAATGTTTTCTTAACAAGGGAGGTATCTAAGTCCACCAGCACCACCAACTGGGAGACAAGTGTTCAAACACATAAGACCATTAAGGACATTACAGACTCAAGCACACAATAGATGTCTTGGTTACCTCCATCTTAGTTAGCAAATATAAATAAACCTTCAATGTCATCTGTATGCAGATGTTTCTGTGAACATAAGTTTTCAACTTTTTTGTAAAAATACTAAGGGATAAGATTGATTTGTTCTATGATGTGTGGGGCATTTATACACCAACCCCACAGTTCCCCAGAGTTTTCTTGAATGAGACCAGCAGGAAATATTAGATAGAAGGATTTAGATTGTGGAGATAATCAGATAGAAAATAAAGGATAGCCTGAGAGGGCCTGGAACCTATTCCAATGGGCCCTTACTGTCTCTGCCCTAAGGCATTTATAGAAACGCCAAGGGGTGGAGCAAAAGAACTCCCCCCAAGCACAGTCAAGTGCAGACCATTTCAGACACCTGCACTCAGGCCCATGGTCCTAATCGTCCTCTGTATGAGGACCTGCTGGGTAAAGCCACGAGGAACCTGAAAATGGACTCCCACAGGCCCCCCTTTCTTTCTTTCTTTATATATATATATATATACTTGTAATTAATAGCTTACAGCAATCTCCATAGCTGTTATACCTCCCATTATGGGAGCAGAGGATGATAAAGATGGCATTTATTTTTTGGATTAGATCCCAGGTGACTACAGCAGTCTTAGCTGCATCAAGCCCTTTCTAAACCAAAAACTTAATGCAACTGCAAACTTAAAGAATCCCTTAGCTTCATCATTACCATTAACAGGTTAACATAAATATTGCTATACAGAGTCACAATTCTCCCAATCTTACAACTCAAAGCAAACTCTTAACAGAACCATTTGAATGAACATAAATGGTGCTACATATAGTTAACAATTTTCTCACTCTTACAACTTTAACTCTTAATAGAATTATTTGAATTTTCTTGCTAACAGAACATAGGAAAAACTTCTGATGTTTACACAAACTTAAATATCTCCTTAACTTCAAACCAGGGTGCATTAGTATGAATAAGTTAACGTAATTTCTGCAAACATACATTCAACCTTAATTCACTCATAATTCCTCCTTTTCTTTATAAATTTTTTAAACAAAACCTCAAACCTAGTTAGAAAAACCCAAACAAATTCCTACAAACCCATATTGAAAAGCAATATTCTCATTCTAACCATTAATACTTTGAAAACTTTTAGCAAAACATCCAAAAGCAATTTCTTTTTTTTTTTTTTTTTTTTTTTTTTGGTTTTTCGAGACAGGGTTTTCTCTGTGTAGTGTTGCGCCTTTCCTGGAACTCACTCTGTAGTCCAGGCTGGCCTCGAACTCACAGAGATCCGCCTGGCTCTGCCTCCCGAGTGCTGGGATTAAAGGCGTGCGCCACCACTGCCCAGCCAAAAGCAATTTCTTAATAAAACTCTTTACACTTTAAAGTAATCTTAGTATACCCATTTGCATTTCTTACTAACAAAACATAACATTAATCCACTCAATTTTTTAATTAAATACACTAAGGAATATTACTTCTACCTTTTCTTTATATTTTTTAAAAAATCTCAAGCTTAGTTAGAAAATCCAAACTTTTCCATTTAAACAGTTTCATTTGTAACAAAACCAGTTCCATACATAATTCCACTTTTACATAAACAGTTCCACAAAACAGTTCCATTTTTAACACAGAACAATTCATGAATCACCAGCATATATGCATACACAAAACTGCATCTTGAGTCTAGGTAGAAACAATAAATTTCTTCATTTAAACAGTTACATTTCTAACATAAATAATTCCAGAAAACAGTTCCCAGGTCATTACTATAAGTAAACTCAAAATTGTCCCATTATAATGAAATCACTATTGTTCATTTCATTTCTTAAGTCTCAAAATCCAAATAATAAATTCTGGTACTAGCCTTCCAAATATGAAGACATCCATAACAAAAATCTTTTTGTAGTTTTATCTCATTTTTTTTAAGTTCAAAAAGTTCAAAAAAAGTAAATTCTGGTATCAGACTTTCACTTCCAAATATGAAGAGATGTTTTACAACCAAAACTTTTTGCAGTGAACATTTTAGTTCAAACAAGAGTCTCTGCAACTCTTGTTCTCAAGCTGGAGACACTTTTAGTTACAGTAACATTTTTAACTGCACCGTTTTTTATTGTTAGCTCAGGTTTTTCTGCGTTGATTTTCCATGGATCTCAGATCTGCAGATGCCTTGTGCTGGTTCTGGCGTCCGCTATTCTTAGCTTCTTAGTGGCTTCTAGAGCTTTTAAAACCACTCAGGCAGGGCAGTGGTGGCACACGCCTTTAATCCCAGTACTCGGGAGGCAGAGGCAGGCGGATCTTTGTGAGTTCGAGGCCAGCCTGGTCTGCAGAGTGAGATCCAGGAAAGGCACAAAGCTACACAGAGAAACCCTGTCAAAAAAAAACAAAAAAACCACAAACAAACAAAGAAAAAAAAACCAACAGACTGCCTGCTTTGCAGTCTACCAGGACAACTAACTTCTGTGTCTCAGGTTCTTTCACCATTAAGCATAGATTCACACTTAATATTTACACTTTTTTACAAACTAACATATAACATATCTTGCAAAGCATTTAGACTCACATTCAATATTTATACTTTTTTACTTCTTATATTCTTATTTAAACTTACATTTACAACTAGCATCTTTACTACTTACAAGCTTATTACCATGTGTCCTAAAACTACCTTAGATACTTCTTGCAAGCTTATATACTTAAAGAAATTTTTATAGATCTATTTTACAAATTTATATAGGGTTACCATTAGCATATATCTAACTTAGTAAACACCTAAAGATTTCTTAACACTTAGAAGAGATTTAACGTTTTCTAACAAGACAGAATAATTTTCTACTTCTTACTCTTAATTATCATCACTATCTCTATTAGAAAGATTCTCTCAACTAGACAGAGTACACAAATCATTTCTAAAGTTCAGAGCTTATAGATAGCTTTGATATTCTAAAAGTTCTTGAAAAACAAGAGTTTAATTCTTTAATGGCTCTCTTAACTTTGGGATTTAGTGACTTCTGTTGCTATGCATTTCAGATGTTTTATAACAATTCTATTAAGAGCTATCTCCGTTTACAGCAAACCCAAAAAGAAAGAAAAGAGAAACTTTGTAAAGAATATTCTGTTTCTGAATTGCTTAACTGACAACTCAGTCAACTTCCCAACAGGAGAAGATAGTTGTCTAAACTGGAGTCAGGTTCCAGACCTGCAGCTTTCAGCAGGTCTGAAAACGTTGTTGAAACGTATTCACAATTGTTTCAAACTCCTCAGGAGTCTGGAAACCCCTTTATATTCCTACTATCCCCAGACTGCAGGATGGAACTTCAATATCAAGAAAATTGATTTAGTTGCTTTTTACACTCATACTCTGATACAATTTTCCCCCTTCTTAATTTTTTTAAAGCTGTATTTGCCATGAGTTCTCTAACAATGGTGATGTTTCTAATAGATTTTTATTAGCCCAATATTTTCAACAAAACTGCTACTATTTAAAGGAGTCAAGAACATAGATGTTCTTTCATGAAACATATCCTTCATTAGCTTACTCTGAGGAAAAGCATTTTCTTTCTTTCTATATTTTTATTTTATAATTAACTTAATTTCACATATCAGCCATGGATTTCCCCATCCTCCCTCTTCCCACTCCCCAGCCCTCCCCCTAATCCACCCCCCATTCCCACCTCCTCCAAGGCAAGGTGTCCCCCGGGGAGTTAGCCCAGCCTGGTAGACTCAGCCAAGGCAGGACCAGTCCCCTCCTCCCTACACCAAGGTTGAGCAAAGTGTCCTAGATTAGGCCCCAGGCTCCAAAAAGCCAGCCCCTGCACCAAGGACAGGTCCCAGCTTCACTACCTGAGGGCCTCCCAAACAGTTTAAACTAATCAACTGTCCCACTTATCCAGAGGGCCTGGTCCAGTTCCATGGGGGCTCCTCAGCCATTGGTTCACAGTTCATGCGTTTCCACTAGTTTGGCTATTTGTACCTGTGCTTCATTTTCATGATTTAGTATTTTCACTTCATTAGCTTTGACTCCTGATGCTATCATTATTAGCAGCTGTGATATTTAGCTTTGATTTCATAAAAGGAACTTTCAGGTAAAGCAACTGTTTTTTAAGACAGATTTTCTGAAGTTTGTTTCCCATCTATAAAGCAGTCATTTCTTTTTGAATGCTTGTTTTTCCTTGTCTCCTTATTAGATTTGCAAAGGAATTACTCATTGCAGGCTATTTTTTCAAGAGGTAAAGAACTGTAATTTCCCATAAATTTCTTCATATCTAAAACAACGTTCAGTGTATAAAGTGCTTTCTCAAGGATTTTAAAGTAGCTTGTTTGCTCTTATAGGTAGTTTTTGTCTGATCTGAGTTCAAGAGGTAAGATTAAGCTTTCTAGCATTTCTTCTCAAAGCAACTTCATTCTGAGCTGAAAAAAACAGTTGGTATGGACATCTTTACCTGAAAAACATTTCCCAGAATGCATTTCTCTTCATCAGCTCACTGTTACAAGGTAGCTTATGGACTTCATTTCCCACAGTTCTCTTCAGGTCTGAGAGCCAACTTCTAGTTCTCTTTTACCGGTCTTACTTTCCTATTGAAAAGTCAAGTTTCTGCTTTCAGCACGGGAGATTTGAACCAAGCGTTTTATGTTTTCAGCTACGGGACATTGGGAGATTTCTCTTCACTTCTCTGCTGTGGGATGGTCTGTATGTCAAATGTGTTGCTGATTGGTCAATAAATAAATCACTGATTGGTCAGTGGCCAGGCAGGAAGTATAGGCGGGACAAGGAGGAGAAAAAGCTGGGAAGTGGAAGGCTGAGTCAGAGAGACACTACCAGCCGCCATGATGAGAAACAGCATGTGAAGATGCCGGTAAGCCACGAGCCATGTGGCAAGGTATAGATTAATGGAAATGGATTAATTTAAGCTGTAAGAACAGTTAGCAAGAAGCCTGCCATGGCCATACAGTTTGTAAGCAATATAAGTCTCTGTGTTTACTTGGTCGGGTCTGAGCAGCTGTGGGACTGGCGGGTGGCAGAGATTTGTCCTGACTGTGGGCCAGGCAGGAAAACTCTAGCTACACTCCTCAGCTGGCTTTAATAGATGTCTCTCTCCTTCATCAGACACTGGCCCCAAATCAGAACCACACCTGTCTCATCAGCATGCATTTGAGGTGGGCATTTCTGATAGCAACTTTCCTGGGTGCTTGTGTTTTTCCTTAGCCAGTCAGTGAAAAACAAAAGCATTTACAACAGAGCTTTTCCACAGCTCCTTCAGAGAGATTTTTCTCCACTGTGATCTTTATCTCATTTTGCTTGTTCCTTCCCCCCTAGATGCAGAGCTTCAGATTTCTCAGGCTGCAACTCTGGCTCTGCTCCTCTGCTAGCTGCCTTTGGAGGTAGGGGCTTTTCCCCCACAAATCTGCCTCAAACTCCAGCAGCTTCCTGGGGAGGAATCTGTCCCTTCTCCATTTCTTCTTCAGAGAGTCTTTTTCCCAGACAGTTCCCAGTTTGGTCTCAATTTATCCCCTCTGCCCCAGAAACATTTCCCAGTGCCACAGTGACAGCTTTTCTGCTTCTGAAGGTAGGGGCTTTAGTCAGTTTCTGTTTTGGGGGTCTGTGACGTTTGTGTTCATAAATCAAGCTTAGCAAGGGAGGTTTTTGCCATATCTAAGCTTGCATTAGGACAGGTGTTTTTCCCTCAGGCCTTTCACCTTACCCAGTCACCCAGTGGGTTTGCTTTTGGCTGGGTGCTCAAGGACAGAGCTTATGCCAGAGGGAATCACCCCTTAGGGCTACATTCCCTCATCTCACTGGGAGTCAGTTTAAACAAAGCTTTTCTCAAAAAGATGCTTTCTGATAGAAAAAAAAAAAAAAAAGCTTTACTCCTGGATACTTCTCTGTGCTGCCCTGGCTGGGCTCTTTCCCCAGACAGCGTTCTGACTCAGCAGCACAACTGCTTCAGACACAGTGCAGCTTTACTGTTTTCCCAGAAAGGTCCTTTCTCTGATAGAAAAGCTTTTTTCAGATTTCTTTTTGCAGCTGTGGACTCTGCATAGTCCCACCTAACAACCCGGGACTTGCAGGAAAGCAGACAACTGTGCCATTCCCATTGGTTTTAACTTTGTTCATTAGCAGTTTTCCCCTGGGTCCTGCACCTTCCTGCCTCATCTGTGCACTCCAGGAAGTTTACAACTGCAGGAACCCTAGTATCCCCAAATACAATGCTAACAGAGTTGGCATCGCTTCAGGGGATATCTGTGTTAGGACGATTAGGAACACCTTTTCATAGACCTCACTCAGGAACAAAACCCCTGATGCCTCAGTTCAGTTGTAAATGAAAAGCTTGGCTTTTTTGCTTTTCCCAGGTAAACAGTTTCCTGCCATATTGGGTTCTTTGTGGTTCTTCACCCACACTCTCCCAAGCGTTTCCCTCAGGGTACTCTAACCCACTGTCTTTTACTAGCTTGAAGAGACAGAGCTTAGAAGATGTTTTAGGAACTCCATCCCTGCCTCCTGCTTTGCAAGGAGGATTTTTCTGGCTTGAAAGAGAACTTAGAAAGGTTTTGCTGTCTTACAAAGTTTGTTGTTTTCCCTTAGAGCTAATCACAGGTGATTTCCATAGTAATATCTTCAGGTGATTTTAATTTGTCCTGAGAGAGAGTTCTGAAAGGTTTAGTTTTTAAGTTTTTAAAGAGAGCTTTTATTTAGAGAAAGATTAGAGCTTTTTAGAGAGATTTTTCCCCCAAGTGTTTCAAGAAAAGCTTTTTAGTTTAAGAAAAAGATTTGTTTTTCCAAGAGAGAGACAGACCAACTTTTTCCAAAACTCCCAAACTTTAAACTTTTTGGCTTCCCACACCCACATCTTTGCCTCAAAGAGAAATCACTTTTCTCCTGCCGCTTGGACTTAGCATATCAGCTGTCCCTAGGCCAAAAGCTTCCATAGGAAACTTTTTTTCTGCTGGATAAGCTCAAAGAAGAGCCTTTTCACTACCCATAAAGCTCAAAGACAGACTTCCCCGCCCCAGTTTGCATTCATAGCCCCCAAAGCTAGGAAATTGAAGAGTTTCTCTGTCTAGTTGCCTTACTTAATTTTTTCTACATGATTTTACACCTCTAAGCTTTTCCCACACTATATTGCTACACTCTAATTCCTTATTTTTCAGATAGAACTTGAGAAAGAGACAGAAGATAGAAATTTTGATGAAGAGATTTCTGTGCTGCAGCATCAAACATCCTTCCAGTCCATTTCCTCCTTTTCTCTTGAGAATAAAAACTCCTGCCCCTTATTAATATTCATATTCCATTACAACACTAGACATGTTCCTTTCCACTGACAGGGCCTAACTCACACTTTAGCCAAAAACTCTGTAATAAAGCTATTATTTTCCTTTGTCTTTAGTCCCATTACTTTGTTTTAGTCCCTGTTCATTTGTCTTTAGTCACTTTTTTTCTTTTTTCTTTAGTCCCTGTTCATGGTGGGATTCTGTGGGGCATTTACCCACCAACCCCACAGTTCCCCAGAGTTTTCTTGAGTGCGAGCAGCAAGAAATATTAGATAGAAGGGTTTAGATTGTGGAGATAATTGGATAGAAAATAAAGGATAGCCCTGAGAGGGCCTGGAACCTATTCCAATGGGCCCTGACTGTCTCTGCCCTAAGGCATTTATAGAAACGCCAAGGGGTGAAGCAAAAGAACTCCCCCCAAGCACAGTCAAGTGCAGACCATTTCAGACACCTGCACTCAGGCCCGTGGTCCTAATCATCCTCTATATGAGGACCTGCTGGGTAAAGCCACGAGGAACCTGAAAATGGACTCCCACAATGATGAATGTTTAGTTTTGCAAAACCCAAAGTTTTCATAAACGGTGTTAGCCTATTTGAATCTACATGACTTGCTCCACTTACTCACAAGCATTGAGTATTGTCAGGAACACAGATGTTATTCAATTTAATAATAGTAAGATTTCATGATTGCTTTCACTTACATTTTGAAAATGACACATCATGTAAAAAATGTTTCCTAAGCCTATAAGCAATCCATAAATCTTTGTGAAGAGCTTGCTAGAGTCTTTGACCCAGTCTTTAACTGTGCTACTCAATTTCATGCTATTAGTTTCTAAAGGTTGTGTTCTGAATGATACTACTTTATTAGGTATTTTATATTTTCTCCAAGCCTATGGATCAGCTTCCAGTTCTCTTCATTTGGCCTTTTACAGTGCAGAGTTTTTTACATTGAGTGAATTGTATTAGTCAGTTTTCTATCTCTGTGACAAATATTGAGAAAATCAACTTAAAGGAGGAACACTTGATGTTGCTTATACTATCGGAGAATTCAGTCCATGATCAGCTGGTTCCATTGCTATGGTTCTGTGATGAGGCACATCACCACAGTGTGAATGTGGAACAGAGCAAAGATAATCAGCTCCTTATTTAAAAAAATACACAGACAGGCAGACAAATAGACCAAAATAAATGAAGAAGAAGAAGAACAACAATAAAAAAAAAACAAGAAAGAAGAGGAAGGGGAAGAGGAGGAGGGGAGGAGGAGGGTGAGAAAGGGGGGAGGAGAACAAGAACTAGAACTAGAACTAGAACAAGAAGAAACAGAACACACTGTTCAGAGGCCTGCTTATTAATGACCACTGTCTTCCAACTTGGCCCCACATCCTAAGACTTACATCATCTCCTACTAGGAACATCAAATGAGTCATAAGCCATTAAGCATGTCACTTTGGGTGGCAGTTTAGAAACAAATTGTAACACTAACCAATCAATGCTTTATTCCATTTGGTCTGTATCTAAAATGTTACAATCATAGCAGGATTTCATCTAGGATTTCTTCTATTTTACTTTTGAAGAGACTGGAGATTTATGCTTTACATTTAAGTCTATGTATATGCCATTTAAACTTTTTTCTTTTTTAAAAAATGATTTATTTATTCTTTTTATGTGCATTGGTGTTTTGCCATTTTTCCTGCATTGATGTCTGTGTGAGGGTGTCAGATCCCCAGGACTGGAGTTACAGACAGTTGTGAGCTGCCAGGTGAGTGCTGGGAATTGAACCCAGGTCCTCTGGAAGAGCAGCCAGTGCTCTTAACCACTGGGACATCTTTCCAGCCCCAAAACTTTTGTTTCATTTTGTTTTTATAAATATTTGTTAGAGTTTTTTTCAGTATTTCATACAATATATTTTGATCCTCTTTATCTACTTCTGCCAACACTTCCTGTCACATCTCTATACTCTACTGACTGAAATTTGTGTTGTCTCTTTTTTATTATTTTTATTTTTTCCAAGCCCATCAGGTCCAATCTGTGTCAAGAAAAAACTGTTTCGCTGTAATTATCCAGCATGTCTGGCTCTTACAATCTTTTTTTCAAATCTCCTGCAAGAATTTTAGAGCCATGGAAGGTGGAGGTATGAGATAGATGTCCCAATTAGGGCTAAGGACTTTACAGTCTCTTGTTTTCTGAGCCTTGATCAGTTGTGAGTCTCTTTTTAAATTGTTGCCTACTGCAAAAGAAGCTTCTCTGATGAGACATGAGTGATGTACTAACCTGTGTATGTAATGGTAAGTCAAGAGTCAGTTTAATAGGGATGAAGCTCCCAAGCAAGTACCAGCTTGGTCTACCCATGTTCTAAGACTCGAGTGTGCAGCATCTTCGAAAAAAAAGGTCTTATTATCAAGTTCTAGGTCAAAAACAGGAGAATTGACCATAACTTGTAATGTTTGGGGGTTCTATAAGACCACTCTAGTCAACACCTCCAAAAAGGGTAATGTAGTTTTTTCAGTTTTATTTTTTGCCAGCCTGTGGTGTCTAGTAGAAGAATGATCACCCACTTACAGAGTAACTCCATTTTAACTCTTTTTAAATATGTGCACATACACATTTTAGAAAGCATCTACAGTAGTAGATTTCCTAATGACATCTTTGAAGGATCTTCAGTGTTAGTTATCCCTCCATATATTCCTTCTCCATCCTGCCCTCTCATCACCCACAGTACTTATTCCACACACACAAAATGAACTATTTTAAATCAATGTGTTGTATCTCCCCTCACTTTAAACATCACCCATGGCCTCTTATTAATTCCCTAAAATTCACACATCTACATTGTAGATGATAATAAATTTCATAAAGATATTTCCATTCAAGTATATCATTTAATTTAATAATATTTTGAAAGATTTCATGTTATGGGTCCAAGGAGTCTGTCCTTTTCATATACTATGTATTAAAAAAGTTATTAATGCCATAGGCAGACAAGCAGACAGAAGCATAGCAAAAACTCTAAAGAAATATCAGGACCACAAGGCAGAGTGAAGGTCCCTTCTCATACATTTTAGAGAAAAGGTTAGGTCCTATAAATGACTGAATGGCAGTCCATAGTGCATGCTTGCAGTCTGGCTATCTCTCATTCCTGGTTACAGGGAAGGAAGTTAAGTCTGAAAGCCCAAGACCTATATGCAAAATCTAATTGAGAGTGGAAAGAGAAAAATTTAGAAAAACAATTTAATGAAAAAACTTTGCAAAATGGCCCTATTAAATATATTCACTCCCTATATCATATCCCTTCTCCACTTCCTATCACCTTGTCCATTTTATTATGCACAAAATTTTCTTAAGATTTATTTATTTTTAGTTATGTGTATGAGTGTTTTCTGCATGTGTGTATGGACATTGCACACATACCTAGGGCTTGTGGAGGCCTGAAGTAGGAGTAGAATTGTTCTCCTTCCCCTGGCCCCCAGACTACCCAGCCAGCCTGTGGTCTTAAGACCCAGGCGAGAACAGAAGCTAGGATATAGGTGGCTGTGAGTACATAGGAGAAACGAAAAGCTTCGAAGTCTGTGCCCAAGGCAGTTTCTTTATTGGGGTAACAGGCTAGTTTATATATAGCTTGAAGACAAAGAAACAGATGAAATACACCTAATTTGCATACACGGGTCATAATGAGGGCAAACAGGCATTATCAAATACCAAAGAATCCCTGTGCAGAGTGGGTGTGGGGGGGGGGGAGTGTACATCACAGCAGCAGAGGTGGTGCATCCCGTAGTTTATCAGCTGACAGGATGTCAGCAAAACAACATGGATTTGCACCGGCTTTCTGGGGAGTGGGGAATGGGGGAGAAGAGGGCGGTAGGAAAAGACTTGTTGGCTTTTGAAATGACATGATCTTTTGTCCCTATGAAGTGGATCCAGGTTTTTCAACGCAAGTCAGGAATGAATGCCTGACTTTTACTATAAACTGTTGAGAGATTTCCATGTGCAGGCATACTCCATGAACTCATTTGATTCTGGAATTCCACACAGGATCTTGTACAACTGGAGTTACAGATGCTACAGGGTATGCTGCCCTGTGGGTGCTAGGAACTGAATCCAGGTCCTCTGTAAGAACAGCAAGTGCTATTAATCTCTGAGCCCCTCCACACAGTTTATTTCTACTTTTATTTCATATAAATTACATATTCATATATAAATTATTTCATTTATCTATGTAAAATCTTGACCCCATAAGAGAAAGAAAATATATTTTTTATCTTTGCTGAGCTCATTTTATTGTATACAATGGTTCCTTCTTTATCCATTTTCCAGAAAACAACATAATTTTATTCTTTATAACTGAATAAAACCACATTGTGTGTATATGTCATATTTTTATTATCTATTCATTTTCTGTGAATAAGATGTTTTTCTTTATTTCATTCTCCTCAAGTTCATTATTAGTATTTAGAAAATTACTGGCATTTTTCATGCTCATATAGTACCCTAATACTCTATAGATAAGAGGTAGATTATTGAATCTACTCTAAAAGAGAGGAGGGGGAGGGAAGGAGGGAGACGGGCGGTGGTGGCACATGCATTTAATCCCAGCACTCGGGAGGCAGAGCAGGTGGATCTCTGTGAGTCTGAGGCCAGCCTGATCTACAGAAGATCCAGGACAGGCACCAAAACACCACAGAGAAACCTGTCTCGAATAAACCAACAAAAAAAGAAAAAAGAAAAAAAGAGAGAGATAGATATAATAGGATAAATGGGTAGATTATTGACTCTACTCCAAATAGAAAAAGGAAAGATATAAAAATGATAAAAGGTAGATTATTGAATCTACTATGAAAAGAGAAAAGAGAGTATATGGATATAATAAGATAAAAAGGTAGATTATTGAATCCACATTTAAAAAGGAACTACTTGTTTTAAATATTTTACATTGGATTGGATTTTTGTATATTGTATACAGTTTTGGAATGGACTTACTAAAATAGGATAAATAGTGAAATTTTTGTCTGAATTTGTCAAATGTTAATGGACTGGACATTGTGTAATGTATATAATGGAGTTTTTTGTCTGAATCTGTCAAATGATAATGTAATTCTTGACTGTATATATTGTATATACCTATTGTAATTATATATAGTTTTGGATATAGTTTTCTTACATTAGTTATAAGCTTCTTTTATTATTTTAGACAAAAAGGGGAAATGTGATGATATTGTGTCCCTCTAATATTGTGCATCCTAATAAACTTATCTGGGGTCAGAGAACAGAACAGCCACTAGATAGACATAGAGGCCAGAAAATGGTGGCACTCACACCTTTAATCCTATCACTTGGGAGGAAGAGATCCATCCGGATCTCTGTGAGTTCAAGGCTGCACTGGAAACGACCAGGCATGGTGACACACACCTTTAATCCCAGGAAGTGATGGCAGGAAACAGAAAGATTTATAAGGCATAAGGACTAGAAACTAGAGGATTTTTAAGCTTTTAGGCTTTTAGCAGCAGTTCAGCTGAGATCCATTCTGGTAAGGACTCAGAGGCTTTCAGTCTGAAGAAACAAGATCAGATGAGGAGTTGGTGAGGTGAGGTTAGCTGTGGCTTGTTCTGCTTCTCTGATCTTTCAGAATTTACCCCAGTATTTGGCTCTGAGTTTTTTTATTAATAAAACCTTTTAAGATTAATCTACAATACTCTGCTGAAAGTGTTTTTCAATTAGAAAAGTTTTATAGTGGAGATTTTAGAGTATCTGATGTATAGACTCATATCATCTGTAGATAATAAAACATGGATTCCTTCCTTTCTTTTTTTGTACACCTTATTAATTTCTCTTGCCCTATTACTCTGGCTAAGACTTCAAGGACAGGCTAGGCTAAGCTGTGGTGTTCAGTTGGTTAGGTGTATGTCTTAGTTAGGGTTTAGGTTCCTATGGTAAAGCATCATGACCAAAAGCAATGTGGGAAGGAAAGAGTTTAATTCATCTTACAACTCTGAGGTCACACCCCATCACTGAGGAAAGCCAGGACAGGAACTCAAGGCAGGAACCTGGAGGAAGGAACTGAAGCAGAGGCCACAGCATAATCCTGCTTACTGGCTTGCTCAGTTTGCTTTCTTATGCAACCCAGGACCATCAACCCAGTAGTGGCACTGCCTACAGTGAGATGCCCTCCCACATCAATCATCAACCAAGAAAATGCCCCACAGACCAATCTGATGGGGGTATTTTCTCTATTGAGGTTCCCTTTTTCCAAAAGACCTTAGCTTATGTAGAGTTGACAAAAGCTACTCAGAACAATGAATTAAATGCATGTTTTAAAATTTATGATGGGTTTATCAGGACAAATTCCCTATTGTAAGTAAAGGGTACAGTATCATCGTATCTCTGTTGATGGGTTCAACTGATACTTTCAATATCCTGTAGGAAATGAACACTCTTGTCTCAGTCCTGATTTTAAAGCAAATACTATTACTTTGTTCTCATTTACTATACTGTTGACTATATGTTTCTCAGATGTGCCCTTTCATATGTCCATGTATGTTCCAAACTTCCCACCTTCTATCTTGGCTACAAGCCTTGATATACTGTTTTGTCATTTATCAACTCTTTTGGTTTCCCACTAAATTTTTTAATTAATTATTGGTCTTTTCATCACCAATATTTTATTTTTTTTCTTCCTATTTCCTCACTAAAATCCAGTTTCATATCCTGTGTTGATATCCTTCTTTCAATTATCTGATTCTATTCCTTTATAATTCAATCAATTTA